GTAAGGGGGTGGAAGTAAGAGGCAAGGGGAGTAAAGTGGGAGGCAGAGGGAGGGAGGTCAGAGGCAGGAGGGAGGGGGTGGGACGCACTGGGGAGGGAGGTGGGAGAGAAGGACCCCCCGCCCCCTCTAATTAAACTTGGAGATCCATGCTCATATGTTGAAATCGTTTATGTCAACGTCAATGTCATTCATTAACTTGTATTTGAATTGTTATTATTGTTCTTGTTATTAGAATTAGCCCATAGAGATTAGGTGGGTGCGAAAGTGTAGCTGATATATTTGTTCGAATTGGCTACGAAAGTCAAACAAGAATAAAGAAGACTTATGTATAAGACGTCTTGCTATGCACAAATTAATTTATCAGCAGAACACCAGACACCAGATAAGCCCTGTCGCACTGCAGCACTTGTTGCTTTCACGAGTGCTTATATTCACAGTCCTTTATATGCTTTCACTACTCTAACCAAGCAGGAACGTATTATCGTGCCAAAGATCTGTACTCTGCTCTCCGTGAGTGGAATGTTATGTACCTACTTGCTGTATAAGTATAACTGCTTGTTATTTAACTCCTTGTTGTATAATTCCGTACTGTCAAAGATTGACTGACTTTCTAGTTGATCTTACAGACAGAAGAAGAACTGAGTGTTTACAAGAATCTCCAGTCAAATGCTCAACTACTAAAGGACATGGGTAAAACTTTATATATCGGTACAGTCTAGATTCATATTATGTTTTTTTTTACTAGTTTACACTTACTAATTACACATACAATATAGAATCCTATTACTTCAATCCTATTGAGTACAAAAAAAACATCTACATTCTACTTTGTACTGCTTCAGCACCCAGGAACAAACATTTCGCTTATAGTATTCGTATAATACGTGTACTAAAACCTAAATGTCTGTTCCTGGGTGCCGAAGTTCCTCCAAAACGACCTGGCCAATTACAACCATATATGGGGCACGCAGGCCGGGCACCTATCTGGCCTTGTTTTTGGCTTAATAAATTTTCGTTCACGACGACAAAATTTGTAAAAGTACAAAAACAGAAGTAACCAATCATCTAACATATTTTCTGCTTTTAACATTTTCTTTTAATAACTACTGTCCTTATTGCACTACTATCTGCTGAGGGGCAATTCCACGGTTACTCACGTTACATTTGGAGCAACAACGAGTTATTCAAAGAGCTGTAATTTCTAAATGTGTTCAATGAACTTTATTATTTAATTATAGCATTTAGTATACAGCATGAGCTACACAAGCATTAAGTAAAGAAATCAGAAAAGAAGTTTGGTTGTGTTATATACCAACAATGTGTCGGTTACTCACGTTACATGATTCGGACATGCATAAAATGACAAGACAGCTAATTTAAGAAATGTCCTCATGTGAGGCATTACAAGAAAAAAACTGTTAATCTCCTGTATAGTTCCCATAGTGGGTCACATATTATTGGTAAAAGAAATGCTCTGGAAATTATAATTTTTATGTAGGAGACATGAAACATGGTTACTCACATTACGGTTACTCACGTTACATTTTGTCCGTACTCTATCTGAATCATTTATCTCAATTTCTTCTAGCGATAACATGTAATAATCATTCTATTTTTATACAAAAGACAGAAGTAGTAACACTCTGTTCTCTACTAGTCTGTAGCACAAAAGAGCACTTTTGGGATACAAAAAAAAACACAAAATAGAAAAAGCCAAAATGTTCTCCATCTCCCCTCCCATAAGACTTTGTTCTGATTGTTACAATCCTTCACAGAATTTGAAGTGGCCACGGTTATTAACAACTTGTGGGGCCTCTAGTTTTTTCTTCAGCTTCTCATTGATGTAGAAGATGTTGTCTCGTTGTTTGGGCCATTTCCAGTACTTGCCGGCTTGCTCCATCACAGAAACTTGGCCAGCACTTCTCCTGGATAAAAATTTTCCTTAAACTCCACTGCATACCAATCTCCGGTGCAAATCGACTTTAGGCACCTTAGGTATCACGAAGTGATGCACAGATTTCTGTGTATCATCAACTGATGCACAGACTTTCCGTATATCAAGGAATGATGCAAAAACCCTAACCCTAACCCTAGGTTATAAAGTATAACCTTAGGTATCACGAAGTGTGTTAAGGTTAGGGTTAGGGTTAGGGTTTCTGGTTAGGGTTAGGGTTAGGGTTAAGGTTTTTGCATTATTCCTTGATATACATAAAGTCTGTGCATCAGTTGATGATACACAGAAATCTGTGCATCACTTCGTGATACCTAAGGTGCCTAAAGTGGATTTGCGCCCCAATCTCCTACCCTAACATCAGAGACACCTGACTCAACATTTGCACTAGTGTCACTTGTACTGCTCCTTGCTGTGTTGTTGCATGTGTTCTTAGTGAGAACAAAGGCAGAGACCTGATCCTGTACTCCCTCTAGACAATGCATGCGGGTGATACCAGGAATCTGCTGGGCATCTTCAAACACTGTCTTGAGATCTAGGCTGCTGTTTCTCTCCTCAAGTTCAGTGTGAAGTAGCTCTGTCAGAGTAACATTGGACATTTCACTTGCAGCTGCTACAAATGTTGCTGCATCTGAGACAATTGCCTTCCTTGATCTCACTTGTCCCCATACATGGCGTTTGACTGCCCCTCCTATTCCATCCACATGACCTTTTCCATGAGATGTTGCAAAGAAGTTCCATCGAATTGTGATGTGATGTTTCTTCTGGAGTGCAAGTATTGCTGCTGAAATGTATCTGTTTTTGAATTAAGATGCAGGGCCATCAGATCAGATGGAGACAATCTTTACAGTTTTTGGAGTTACCATCTCAGAAGATGGTCAGATGAAAGTGCAATGCATGATGGGTAGACTCATTTGACTACACTGCCCTCTTTTGTTTTAGAGTGACACACATCAATATATTCATGGCACACACACCTTAGCACTTTCATCTAGCCACAGGCTGTAATTTGATGTTAAGTTCCTAAGGAAATGTGGTTACTCACATTACACCATGGTTACTCACATTACACGGTTACTCACGTTACCACATTTACTCGCTGTTTATTAATAATTGTGAACATGGATATCAACAAAACACCAATTTTCTAATCAACAGTCATTAGAACTAAGAAAATTTTAACTACCAGAGTTGTATTAAATAAAGAAGTTTATCACAAAAAAATAGATGTAATTTTGTGGTTACTCACGTTACATCATTCAAACAGGAACACCACAACAATTTTTCATATTCAAAATAAGAAGGAATCTCCAAATTAATATGTAATTCAGAAACTATGGTCATCATACAGTCTGGAAATATATATGAGTGTAAAATATCTCTAATCTAATTACTAGCAATATAGGTCCAATTAATTTCAGATTTTAAAAGCTGTTGTAGTCAAAAATTGTTCTCAATTAACATACTGTTTTCTCAAAGAAATCTAACAGAAATGACAATTCATTGTCTGTTTCACGAACTTGCATGTATAACCATTAAAAAAATATGTGTAGTCTTAAGAAATTTCACATTTTAATTTTCAATGCCATGTCCATCAACCTGTGGAATTGCCCTGAGCTAAGATCATCTCAAGCAAATTCTTGATACTGGTAACTTTATTTATTATTTTTTAACTTCAATAATTGTCATGAGATTGAAAGTTATAAGTCATATTATATATAGGTGGTCCCACAGTATGTTTTGGGTGGTTAAAAAAATTGTCATTCTTCAAACATATTTTTCTTGCTTAAGAGACATTTTTGTTCAAACAGACATTTTTTTGTCAAGCCGCTAGCGGGTAGGCAATCTCAAAATTTAAACAAAATAAGATTTCATATTTCATTCATTTTATTAAGGCGAGACATACGGTTGCATCCATCATGTAGGAAGCACATTGCCATATATTGGCTGATTTAATTGTTTTAGTATTGTATCAGACGTGCACAATTCACAGGCTTTCCAGCGGCCCTAAAATTCCTAAAAATTCCTAAAATTTTGAGCTCACCCTAAAATTCCTAAAAAAACTAAAAATGTATGCAATTCCTAAAAAAAGGCTAAAATTTTATTCAAATTCCTAAAAAAAAAAATTCACAGATATTTTTGGAGTTTTTGGTGATGAGATGATGAACTTTTGGTTTGTAATTATATCTAATGCAGGGTCTCCAACCATTCCTCATTCTGCGGAATCATTACGATTTCTAGGCTTAATTTCCGCATTCTGCAGCGGCAAGGTTATATTCCTCATTTCAGTTGCACTGTACAAAATTTGCACTGATTGTTCGCATTGTTTGCTTGGACACATTGTTTTTTATCAGGCATTTTGTATCTGGCATGTCTACGGTAAATGGAATAGCCTAGTCAGACAGGTGCTGTCGCGTAGTTTGTCTGCTAATCAGAAAAGGGTTGTAGGGTTGAGATAGTGTTATCAGACATGAGAATATGGCCCACAGTATGCCTCAGATTGCAGCAAAATGGCTTAAATATTTCAAAATTTTCTGGGAGGCATGCCCCCAGACCCCCCTAGCACTGGCATGTCTACGGCACGCGGGCCTGCCTGCCGCAGCCAAGGTACATTTCGCCCCCCCCCCATCAATTTCGGAATACGCCACTAGTTACTGATCACCGCGGGAACATTCCGCATTTGGAGTTCACAGGGTTGGAGACCCTGCTAATGGATGTTTTCTAGTTATATTTATACAGAGTAAGTATTGTGACTCTCAGTCTACCAGTGATTCCTAAGCTTCAGTGTCTGATTATACGACCCTGTTCCTGGCTGGATGTACAAGACATGCCTAATTTGCATGAAACATGATGATGTACAGTCGTATCGAGGACTTGGAGGATAGGAATAGCTGGTAGACTGGACACATACCACATAGAACTGTATCTGTAAGTTAACACATTGATGTTTATGAAAGGTAAGTGACTTATTTTATCCCTAAAATGTTTCGATTCATCCCTAAAAATTCCTAAAATAGCCCTAAAAAAACCTTAACTTCTCCCTAAAATTAGCCCTAAAATGTTGTCAAGGACTGCTGGAAAGCCTGAATTCAAAATCTCAAAACAATCTCAAGCTATTGTCGCGTGTGTGTGTGTGCTTTATATTGGGAAAGAATCATATCAACAGAAAAACTATATAATTTTGCTGATACTGTGCATGCGTGAACACAGATCTACAGGTGATTCATGGAAATTTTGTATGAATAGTAAAAAAATTGAATAGCAAACATTTCATTCCAAGCTAGTGTTTATACATGCGTGCATGTGCGTGCGTGCGTGCGTTAATGTATATCTATTCATTTATTTTATTTATATTGATTCCTCGATTATTAGTAATCAATCAATTATGATCATAGTCAGCATTGTGTCCTTGTATAGTTCGCAACGTTAAAAGTACGTATTTGTTGAGAGTTCCTGGATGGCATGGAATTCGCGACTGCTGATGTGACAGTTTATACCTTATTTTTGCCATGTTTACATTTTCTCTTTTTTCAAAACCTAGTGGGAAGTTCCCCCCTAGAGATTATGGCCTGGGTTTAAATACTCATGAACTGTGAATTTTAGGAGCAGAGGTGATGTGTGGAGTTGACGCAACCAAGCTCCCAACTGTTTTTCCTATCAGGAAAATGGATCGAATCATCTTCAACTTCCCACACATCGGCGGTAAAAGCAACGTAAAGAAAAATCGTCGGCTCCTGAGAGATTTCTTTGAAAGGTGTTTAATTTCGAAGTTCTATTGGCAACATACGTGTCTGTCCAGTTTCCATGCTTGCACGGAGTTTTGACATGATTCACATTTTTCTTAACTGAACACAAAAGTCGACATGGCTGCCTGTTTAGTACGCAGCAGGAGCGCTGGCGTAAAAGCAGTTATCGGAATTGACCGTGTGAAATGAACCTTCAGCGCCTTCGCGCAATTTCGTGGTTTCGATGGAAAATCTTCACTCTGTTTTTTTCCCACCAGCGCAGCCGAGATCTTGACACCACACGGTGACGTGTGCGTCACTCTCTGCCAGGGTCAGGGCGGCTCACCCGCCGACATACCAATGAGGGAGTGGCACAACACGTGGCAGGTCATTGCCATGGCAGCATGCGCAAATCTTGTTCTGTACAAATGTCGACCCTTCCTTCCCAGCGAATACCCAAACTACAACTGCACTGGATTTAGGTACGGATACTGGATTCAGCAGTAGTGAGAGGATCGATGATGACATGAGATCATTGTAATTTTGCAATTAATCATGCACTTGCCTCGTACAGGTCCCCCACAAAAAATCTGGAAAGCTGTGGCGTTTTAAAATTCATTATTTTAGGTGTTGAAAGTCGTACAAAAAGGCCATGGTCGTAGAAACGCTTGGAAAATTAGCTGGTATTATGTTTGGTTCCAGAAATTCCTTAAAATTGCGGTTATCTTTGTTCACTGTTAGGCAGTAAAATTTGCTTCATGCAAGACTTTGTACAGCTAGAATCTCATGGCCATGGAAAATAGGTCTTTTTAAGTCATGGAAAACTAAGAAAACTAGGAAAAACATCTTCCTTAGGATTACGCAACCTGAATTAAATTTTCGGCATTCACACGTGTAGGAGCCAGGACAAGGCTTTTCACACGCGGTGCGCGATCACTCACTACTTTCGACACGGCGTGCCCTTCACCTTTCCCGAGCCTTCCGACGAACGTGACTGCAACATCCACGACGTTTGCACGAGGAAAACGTACACATGTTCGTCCAGTTATTTGGCAGAATGCGTTAGAAGGTGAGATTGCTGTTTGTCTGCCTGTGTCTCTAATTGCTGCTGTTTTTTTAACGGGGTCTAAAAGCTGCGTCACGATCTGCATCTGCGATTGTATGGCCTTTTGTGTAAGAACAGACACTGAATATGCTCTGTTTGAACGGTACCAGTGTAAAATCGGTTGTGCTGTAGATTAATTTAACTATTAACTTTTTTGTGTGTCGCCATGCGTTTTCTTTTGCGTGCTCGTTTGTGTTAATCGGGTAAAATTATTCATGCGTTGCAGGAAGCTTCACGAGGAGGTGGGTCATCCTATCCAGCAGATTGCTTGTCACATGACAAAGGTTCTCGCGGATTCCACCAAATATAGAGTTGACGTCGTGTCAGGTTCAGAACTTCCTTTGGTGCTGAGCGTAAGTGATTATCTTTGTCGAATAATAATAAAGAGCGTTTCAACGCGAAAAACATTTTTTGAGCAGATGCCGCATCAATATGTTGGATTATAGTGTGATGAAGCCTTTACACACTACGTTAGTTCTTAGACTATTCACGTGCCATGCATCCTCGTGGATATTTCTCAGTTCCAATAATAGAGACGACTATTTGTCTTATGCTGGTGAGTCTTGCGTCATTTGGGAAATTGAAATGAACCGATATGTGCTGCCTGGCAGCCAGACGAACAATGAGCTCTCTGTGAACGACGGATGAAATGGTAATCAAAATAAATTTATTACTTTAAATTACCAATGCTAGATTAATTAAAATGGTTATCCGTGGAGAAATGCCAATCGGAAAACGACGAATCAGTTTTCCGCTCATTACTTACAGGCGACTACAGTGCCCCCACAAAGCATCCGCGTTCTCCCGGCAACCGACAATGGTCCGTCCGGTGAAACAAGAGAACACTTCTTGCGCAGTTCAGCGATCGACCTCATCCCAGCTCTCCTTCAACGTAAGGCAACGCGTTCTGCCTGCAGCAATACAGACGGGGGAGCAACGGGAAACGTAGCGGTAGTGGAGAATGTAGCGGTAGATGTAGCAGTAGTGGAAGACGTATCAGTGATTGAAGACATAGCGGTAGCGGGGGACGTAGCGGTAGGTTCGTCGACGGAGGTTCCGTGGCTGCAGATGTGTGTGGTTGATGTGTATCATGAAGAGGCGATCTACAGCGAACCACTGGCAGCTTACGAACTCATCATCTTGTGTGACGGATCGCCAGCCGCCGCCGCGCGAGACTGCCTGCAGACGATGCTGCCAGGTGGCGCCACGCACCACTGCGTATCGACGTGTCTCTTTCCGTCGCCATCTTCGACAAACGGCGCGCCATCAGTAAACAACGTGCCGTCTGCTGTGACAACAGAGCAGTCGGAAAACCTCCACCAGAGGTCGCCGCTATTTCCTCGTCGCCAGGGTGACCTCCACCAGAGGTCGCCGCTATTTCCTCGTCGCCAGGGTGACCTCCACCAGAGGTCGCCGCTATTTCCTCGTCGCCAGGGTGACCTCCACCAGAGGTCGCCGCCGTGGCTTCGTGCGTTCCGCGTCACTGGGGGGCGCCACGCGGCATTCGTCATTGACGTTGCCGCTGCGTGCACGGCGACGGTCGGCGTGACGACAGACCAACGGGTACTACGCACGATAGACCCACGCGTTCTCGCCGAGCTTCGTGACACGCCGCCAGGTGGCGCCGCGCCCGCGTTCTGGCACGACGTGAGTTTCTGGCGGCCGGACGACTACGATGAGCGGGATTTCTTCCGCGTGATTCGTGACATGGCGGCGCCACTCGTCAATGATGTCTCGCTGCTGGAGGAATATGTGCGAGAGGGAAGAACAAGCCTCTGCTACCGAGTCGTCTACCAATCGTGCGATCACCCGCTCCCCCAGCAGATGGCAGCACGGCTGCAGTCGGCCCTGCGGCTGCGACTCATAGACGAACTCCGTTACGAGCTTCGACCGAACGTGTGACAAGTGAACGTCTAATGCGTGCGCGTGACTAATCACTCGGATTGGGATTATCGTTGTCACGGTATAGATTCTTCACGGAATCCCCTGGATCTTTAAAGGTGATTTTTTTCAAAGAATGAAAATACTTTTGTATACCAGCCTGCTCAAGTTGAGTTGACGTAATATTGATGTAAAGTACATGGGATGTGCATATTGTGTACGTAAAGATAGAGCGGACGGGTTGGTATGTCAATGAGTAATGTTTTAAAACGACCATTTATCAAATAAACCGAAAAATAAATTTAGACACACTTACTCTCACTTGTCAGCGTAATTACTAATTCCTTCAGCATAAAAATTATTACAAATTCCCGCTCTTATAGGATATAAAACAGCAGATGAACAGCAAACGTGCCCCCACCATCTTCAGAATCGCTATAATGGAATGCTCAAATGGTCCCAGGAAACAAACGCACCTAGTTACGTGACGCAAATATTAGACTGGTATCTATCTAAATATGCATACAAAGGTAATTAACCTAGTGTAGAGACAGAGTTCCAGTCTAGCGAGAGCAAAAGTCACACGCTAGGTTTGTTGACATATGAAAATAATCTACTTTGAAATGCAGATTGGTGAAATATTGCTGGAAAGAATGTTGTGCGAGTGTGCTATGACTGTATGACATGTTAGCCTTACTATATACATTTTGTGTTATGCAAGGAGTACTGATAAGTGTCAGAACAGTTGACAAAATATGAAAACAGTTGGTAAGAACATAAGGAATCCTTGCGTGAACACTTGCATTTATTGCATCATTACAAGGAAATTTTTAGGAAATTTAATTCCTTGCTGTTTCGTATTCGGTCTAGTCGCATTCCTGCATGGTCGAGTACAACTTGGTCAACAGACTTGTGCTGAAGGGGCAACAGCCAAACTAAGATATGTAGCGGGCTATGCATTTGCCAAATTGCGGTGGCAGAACACAACGCTGTTGAACGCTGATATATTGTATATATAATGTATATATTGTATATATAAATATATATCCCATTATATATACAACATAGAATATAGCCAGTCCACCTTGGGTGTTAGCGAATCTACTCCGGGTTAATTTGAAAGCTTGCATGTTATTAGAGAGCATATTTATGGGCCACGGAGTACGTTACATGCCCCTGTGATAATCACCTGTAAATGCCGGTCAAATGCTCATCTGCAACACACAAGTACACCGAACGCACGACCACGCTGTGCACAGGCACTTGAAACGTTTCAATAAAATATAATGCTAAACAAACACGAAATCTAATACTAGTAGTAGCTATGTGACCTATGTCGTACCCAAACTTGGAATCTGCACAATCTCGAGATTGTGCAGCGATTGCGCTGCCCAAACTGCGGATTCCTTAGTTTGGCTGACCAATCTCAAGATTGGGCAAACTGAAAACAGTCGGTGATTCAACAACCGCTCATAGCGAGTGTGTGGTGTGC